GTGATCCCTCCTGCCGCTACGCCGGCCATGCCTCTCTATACGGACCCGTTGAGCCTAATCCGTCACGGACTTAAGTGTTTAGAGTGTAACAAGCAGGCGCAGGATTACGTCGCTTTAGCAGCTCATTACCAGAGAACCTCAGAAGATAATGAGAGGCTGGTAAGTCGTCGCTTTAATGCTGTTAGGGCAGAAGTCTCACTGAGTTTAAAGAGGTTGTCCTCTAGTGGGGAAATCAGGCGGCATGGTGGCCAATGAGTCGCTTTGCCAGAAGAAAGTACTTGTGGGGAGGATTTGGGAGACATGTGCGTGTAAAGAGATGTTTAGAGTTGGTTGCCCTCTTTCTACCCTTTGCCAGCAAAAAGAGGGTAGTGAGGAGACCGTGGAGATCCTCGAGCATCAAAGGAAGGTGCTGGAAACGAAAGATTGCTCGGATGAGCCGTGCAAGAGCACTGTCGGGGAGGACCAGCGGGGCGTTTCCTAAACGCCCGTTTTTGTGCTCTAAGCATGGTGTAGGGGAGTTCTGCCGTGGTTTAATTTTACTTTCCCTGGAGTTGTACCAGCATCTTTGAAAACCAGGCACTGGTTTTGTGGTAGCCTGGTAAAGTTTGTATTGGGACAGGGCTGGCTGAGAGGCAAGCAGGGTGGTGTGGGGGGTGGAAGACCTTTTTTTGGGTTATTTTTGCCCCTTGGGTTGGTGTCTCCACCACATTCACGGACCTCCCTTGTAGGGAGGTCCAGATCCCCTTTGAAACTCCACCTTAGGTTTGTATTGAGGGAGAGGAGGAGATGCTCTTTGCTGAGACCACACATCTCATTTACGTTTTGTATTTTGGAAGGTGCGGTCATGAACATAAAGCGACCTGAAGTTGAATGGGAGGAGGAATTCTTTATCCTTTTAGATGAGGTGATAGCTTTCCATGTCGCAGGTTCCTGGGCTGTCCTCCACTCCGTGCCAGCGTGAGATGTTCAGGGAGACGAGTGCTGGTCTCTTCCCTGCCTGCTGTAGTACCCACATGCTCCAGAGCCTCCCCTCTGCTTGTAAAATGGCTTGTGGGAGTATCAAGGTCACTGTGGTCCCGTTCAGATGCTTTGTTATCTTTCTCTTAAATTCATCAGTGGCAAAAAAAAAAATAAAATAGATCATGGCTGAATGGTTTTTATGTTGTGAAAAACGGTGAGGCCAGGAGGGATTGGCGTGGCCACATAATCAGGTTTTCTTGCCCAAGGCAGACGGGTGAGCGTTGTGCTCTGTCAACGCTGTAACTTATTTTTCAACTGTAATGCGTTTTTAGGAAATGTCAGCAGTCTGGAATTAAAACCTTCAGGTGAAGGGATGCAATGAGTGCTCCAAAATGTTAATCAGTCTGCATTAAAAATGTATTTCCTATTTTTGCTGTGGGATTATCACTTCCAAGAGCTCCTTAAAGAGAGAAGGAATGTCTGCTAGTAAGTATTTTTAGGTCGTAATCAAATAATTTATTCTTAACCAAGAAAAGAGTTTAAGCCGCTCACTTCAAGCTAGGTCTGCAAGACGATTTTTGGAGCATCTTTCTGACTAGAAAGTTTTTAAAACTGTAGAAGGAGGTGATGTCAGAGCTTGTAAAACCATCTCCTCCCCATTCCATCTTCCCGTGCTTATGCCCGACGGGATGCGTGTGTTGCTCTGAGAGTCCCTTTTAGCTGTATCTGCTGGATGTGATCAAGTGGCCAGTGTCACAGGTGCTTTCTTAGGTGGCATAAGTGCTCAAAACCTCTGATTTCCATCTCTGGAGTTGTGCCAGGTTGGTCATTGTTTGAAAAAAAAAAAAAATAATTCAATACCAATTTTTGACAGGAATCAGGTGGCTGAAGAAAGCATCGGTGTAATGCCTATGTTTGACAGAAATCTTTTAGTGCCCCGAGTAGCAGATCTGTCCACGTGGTGTTGATTTTTTTTTTTTAAAGCAACTGTGTGTGGGGGGAAGAGATTGTCATAGTTTCTTAAAGCTAACAAAAACTTGCTGTCTAGTATTTTGAATTTCTTTTTTTGTCATTTCTTACTCGATCCCAGAATCCAGATGCAAACCTTTTGCTGTGTGTCCTTGAGAAAATATGAAGTATTTTGATAGTTTCTGCATCCGACTTAGGCCTTTTAAAGAAGTAGCAGGAGAAAGACTTCTCTTTCAGTGTGATGTTTTCAGTTACCCGCAAGGTGAGGGATGAGTAAGAGGCAGGAATGATTGGATTGGAGTCGGGGAGCGGCAGCTCTGCTCCGTGAGAAAATTTATCCTGTGTTGATACGAAAGACGTCTCACTTTAATTGGAATTCCTTCCCACAGCTTTGCAAGTTGCTTTGGCGTCTTCACGTTCTAAAAGGTGATTGTTGGGTTTTCTGTTTGCTTGGGAAATACTCGGTCTTGTGTTTCAGAATGGCCATGGGTAAAGCCCGTATTAATAGGACTGAAATAATCTGGCTGGAGAAGAGCGTGTTGGTTTGTTTTTCGGGGATAAACTGGAATACAGTAGGAAAGAACCATCTGAGAAATGGAAATATGATCTCTTGTGAGGAAATTAAAAGAGTTGACCTAGTCAATTAGGGTGAGTATCCTTCAGTACCGAAGTGGAATCGGTATTAAGGTGAGGGTTGTGGCACAATTTTTCCACCAGCAACTAAATCTACAGGAAAAAAAATGTATTTCCTGGAATCACCCTGACTGGTTCATCAGCATCAGGGTTTTTTGGATTCAAATTACAGGAGATGAATGAAACCTGTGTAGCTCCTGGTGTCTTTGTTTTAGAGGTGCTTAAAGAGTGAGAGTGGATACAGACGACACTGCCTGCGGGGTGATTTTTATAGAAAAGGGCTTTTTAAATTTAGTGGCAACAATGATGCAAGAACAGGCTGAAACAGATGTACATGGAAAATTAGGGGTCGGTCTGTGATCACCAGAGGAGTGAATTCTGGACAAGGTTTGTGGCAGAAGTAACAAACAAAAGACACAGACTGGTTTTGAGACAGAGCTTATTTGGTTTTTTGGCAAGAACGGAGCAGTTCACAAAAACATGTGTGAGAATTCAAAGAACATCCTGACCCTCTGGGGCATAGTTGTACATCTACTTAATACTTTTAATTTAATAATTAAAATTAATAATTAAATTAATAATTTAATACTTTTTTTTTTTAATTTTTAGTTTTGTGGGTCTTTTTTGACATGACCACCCAAAAATCCACTGAGGTGGGTAAGAACTTGAATAAAGTGCAAAACATAAACTGAGCACCTCTGAATTTTCTTGCACCTTTGTGCTTTTGTTTTCATCCCTCTTCTCCCTGTTCTGCCACCCTTTATTTCTTCAAAAAGGATTTTTCAGTGAGTTAGGGCATATCTCGTTTACATGCCACCTACACTGGGGTGGTTGAAAAGCAATTTTATTGCCTTTTCTTTTTCTTCTCCCTTCCCCTTCTTAAATCAGTGCTTTATAATTTACTGGCTACAACTTTTCAAAAGCCAGCGGTAGTTTCCCAGCAGCAAAGTAGCAAAGCACAAAAGACAGTGGCTGTGTCTTTGCTATTTTTCATCTTCCTTTTTTTCTGCCTCCCCCCTCCAGACCTACATGTTCGTGTTTTAATTTAGAAAACAAGAGGACGCAAAACAAAAATTCTGTTGGCCTTGCTTTTTCCCTTCTCCCAAACCCAGGGTGGTTAATGCAGTCCTCGGGTACTAGCGCAGACGGATTTTCTTTTAGGTGGGAATTTTCCCTCCGGATTTCGTAGAAGTAAAGAGATAGGGAGCGTGTTATGATGAAAGTGCCTTGAGGGAGCGGAGCTCCGGGCAGCGGATGGCTGGGAGCACAGGACAAAGAGAGGAGTGGCAGGGTAGGAACCAACAACCAACAATACTGTCACACAAAAAATGCCCCAAAAGGTAGGACAAAACTACCATCATCTACTGAACCTGGTATGGTGGGTGAGAAGAAAAGATGTGGAACTCAAGTTCTTGGAAGTGCAGCCAAGATCAAAAAGAGAAAAAGAGCTACAGACTGAGGACATTCAGAATTACTTGATGCAGCCTTGTCCGAGATTGGTGATGCTTGTGGTTTTTTTTTCCTGACACTTTGTTTCCTAAAACTCTCAGGTTTGCACTCATTTTAACTGGAGATTTTTCCATATGCACAAAAACATATTTTCTGTTTATCGAACAGCCTGAATTCCCAGAGGACAAGGTTTTAGACTCGTTTTATTGGGATGATTTTGCTGTGTGCCTGTAGGAGTTGATCTTGGCGAAGGTCCGAGGTGGACGGTAGGTTCGGCAGCGTTGGGTGGTGAGCGAAGTGCAGGAAGGCAAATGAGAACAAAGTAAGTTGACAGGAGAAGGTGGGGTGGAATGAGGAGGATGAGTAGGGTTGTTTTGGTTTTTTCTATCTATTAATTAAACCTGCTAAGGCTGTGATGCCTGTTCATTTCAAGAGAAGTTGGCCGAGCACCATATTTTTAGCTGAAGCTATATGATCACAGACAAACTTTCCTGTTTTTTTCAACCTTCGCTCTACTTCACTGGGTGGGGTTTTTTTTTCCCCTTCTGAAGAAGCTAATAACTAAAAATGAGAATAAAATCAAGTATTCTGAAACAGCTGAGCTTCTGAGCATTTTTCTGTGCAAATGCAACTTCTAGAAGAAAAAGCCCAAATGAAATATGGCAGGCGAACCGGAATTGAAGAAAACTTGTAATAAATAACTCTTGATTAAAGTGTAGAGTATGGGAGTATATGAAAAACACAGACATTACACAACTCAAAATCACATCCTGGTAACACGCTTTAGAAATAACTGCCTAATGAATGTCTCAAATTGCTGCCAGGCTCCTTTGAAAAGTCACGGAAAACTTAAGAGCGAGATAAAAATGTGACATCTGGAACTGAGTTACGGTTTCTCATATGAAGCAGAAGAGGCATAAAAGAAGAAACCACTCCTGTCTCCAAGATTTTTTTATTATTTTTTTTTAAATTTTGGAAATCCAGGTAGCCTGACCTGTCTGTGGGTCAGATCTTCCTTTACCCATGCAGTCGCTGTCTCTGCAAGAGAGCTCGAATGGGAAAGGAGAAGCCACTGTGGCTTTTTCCTGAGTACTTTGGTTCAAGATGACAGTTTTCCTTATTGTTACTGATTTATCCTCGTGACTCATCACTTGTCGGTTTGTCTGTTTACTCCCGAACTTCTTGACTCTTCCACAAGATGATCCAGACTCTGTTTTTTTGGTTGTTTTTTTTTTTTTTTTCTAATGCCCCCCTTGCAGAGTGTGGTGTCAGCATGGGAATCCTTCCAGTTTCTTTCCCGGCGCCTGCAGACACAATAAATTCATTTTGCTTTATCCTTGCCGAGTCTGGCTTTTTGTTCCCGGATTGTGCGTACACACTCCCTGGCAGGTTTTTATCATGTGCTTTGGGGCCGTGCTGGAGAGGAAGAGGTGAGCTCCAAAACGGTTTCTTTGCAGACTTAAGATTGAAACTAAATGGGCTGTGGCAAGTCAGGATCTGGAGAGAAAACATTTCTCACTAAGAGGGCATGAATTTTAGGTGGGATCGAAGCGAGAGGAGTCCTGTTTTAATGCAGCCAAGAAGTTAGATTTCCCACTGCAAGTCACAACTGTTTAAAAAAAAAAATTGCCATTAAACCGCCATAAAACTGCCCTGAGTATTAATTTCTTCTTGTAGCTCTTATGGCAGCAGAAACGATGTATTGAAATTCCCTGATTTGATAATCCCTAATTAGTAGCTCCTTCTTAAGCCCATTTAGTAGCTCATTCTTAAACTAGAATTAGGCGAAGTAAGGTTTTTGAGTTGGGGTGTGGGGATGTTTCCTGCTTTTTTGGAGGTTCTTTTGGTGCAAGGTGGAGGCCTGTCAAGGAAAGCGCTTTCCTTCTCAGGTGGCTTTAATGCAGAACGCAGTGACCAAGCAGAGCTTCTTCAGAGCTAAGAGAGAAATGCCTTTTCCTTTTTTTAAAGAAATAAAAAGGACATAAGGCACAGAGGACGCAGGTTTAAGAATGGATACCCTTGTCAGGAATGGCTACTTGTGGAAATTTTTAGGGTCGTAGAAATAGATGAGGAGGAGGCCAGCCCAAGAGCTTCGTGGAGTTAATGTTAGTATTAGAGGAACATGCTGGAGCTTCCTCTAAACCTGAAAGAAAAAGAACTGATAGAGAATAAGAAACTAACGTAGCTTTTCTCTCACCAGACGTGTCAAGTGTGCCAGATGATGCTGCCCAACCAGTGCAGTTTCTGCGCTCACCAGAGGATCCACGCTCACAAGTCTCCGTACTGCTGCCCCGAGTGCGGAGCCGTCTGCCGCTCCGCCTATTTCCAAACTCACGTCAAGGAGAACTGCCTGCATTACTCTCGCAAAGTCGGATTCAGGTTTGGGCAGCGCCGAGAGGGGGAAACGGGGATTTAGATATTCAGGAAACGCCTTTTGCTTTGCAGTGGGAAAGGACAAGGACATAGTCCAGGCCCAGCACTGTTTTCCGTGCCACCCAACAGGGTGTTACTAAATGGATTTAAGAGGAGGTTTCCGAAAGCAGGAGTTATTTTGGGGCAGCTTGAATCCAAAAAGCACTTGTGTCACGTTCAAGTTGCAGACAGCTATCTTGGGATTGGGAAAAATTGTGGATCTTAATCCTTGAAACCTCTTTTAAGGTTCAGACTTATATTTATGTTGGTTATGACGGGGTCAGGGATAGACGCCTTCATGAGGAGGGCACAGATGATTTTCTTGCACACCTCTACAACACTTCATGAACTCTGAGAGGGAGGAAGACTTCCAAGTGGTCTATTCTCCAATGACACTGACTGCTTTAACAGAAGATACTACTTTTCCCTCCAAGCCTTTCCTCCTCAGCGTGTTCAGATCACCTCAGCTGCAGCGCAGCTCTTAAGGCGTGAATGATTTTCTTGGGAGATGAGACTAAGTGACCTGTTAAGACGCTTTAAAATTCGGATCTCTATTCAATCATTGTTAAATACTTCAAAATTTAAAACGAATAGGGAAGTTTCTCCTCTCAGAGCCGTTCTAAGATGTCTGCAAATTCCGGCAGCCTCCTCTGCGTGGTTTCTTCTGAAATCAAGCTTAAGTTTTCAAGGACTTTTTCTTTCAACCGCAAAGACAAGAGACACACAACAAACCAATTCTGCATTTAATTATATACAGATAAGGGTGGGTTTTTTTCATGTGGGATCTGAACTGAGGGGGCAGAGCCCACAACAAAGAATTAATCCCATTGCAAATTAAACGCCTGTGATGCTCGAGCTGTTTGAAAATGAGTTAATCTGAGTGCAGGAGGAAGGCTGGGGAAGAAAAGCATTTTCCCTTAGAAGGAAAAATGGGCATGGAGGAGGTGTCAGAGAATGAACCAGCAATCCAGGGCAAGTCCTTTCTCCTCTGTTTCCAATGGGTAGGCTGTATGACCTGGTGTTTCTTAAAAAAAACATTTCTGATTCCAGAGGTGTTACAGTAAAAATGTTGTTGCGATGCCTTAATCCTCATCAGCAACACGAGTATCCCATCTATCTATGGATGTGATTAGCAAATACCTGCTTTCTCTGCTGGTGACGTTAATGAAGATGTAAACCAAGACAGAGCTCAGGAGCAATGCTTGGGGGGGGTTTCACTTTACCCAGCTTCTCTAGAAGCGAAATTTCTCTTAACTGCTCCTCTAATTCGCAGGTGAACTTCTGGCTGCGCTACCCTTGTTATCCTGCCCATCCCTGCTTGCAGGGTTGATGTTATTAGCATTGTAGGGAACCAAAGAAATCAGTTTTAGTCGCAGAACTGTATCTAGATAATCCATAGCATCTGCCCTGTGATCACAGAGGGACTTTATTTCTCTTCTTTCACTTTTGTCACTCGGAAAGCTGAAAAGCTGAGTTCTTTTAAATCCTCCCCAGGATCAGCTTCATTTTTGCTGCTTCTCACTATATCCCCATTTTTCTGGAATTTCTGTTGCCTAAGTTTGATTTCTGTGATCAGTCTTTATTCTATCTCCTTTCCTGCTCATACCCCAATTAAGTCTGGAGGAAGATTATTTTAGCTAGGCTTTAGTCATGGCTGAAAATGAGAAAAGGTCTTCTTCAGGTAAAAATGAAAATCAACAACCCTGTCTTAAATGCTCCTTTCCACTTGGCTCCTCCTCACCTTTTCCAAGCTACTTCCAGCCGTCCCCACAGATTTGGGAGTCATTTGGGGAGTCATTTTCTTGGTCGGTGCCATCCAGAGGGTCGAGGGACTGGAAAGTGACGCTTTAAGAAACATTCAGAGGGTTAAGACGACATCTCGTAGCTTTATCATCTTTCACAGGATGCTTTCCAAGGCTTTTTCCACCACCCCTCCTCACCCCGAGGCTACCCGAGTGCCTTTTCTTGCAAATTATTCCCCCTGTCATGCCCGGGAGATGATAGCAGAATTTGCAATTTGCAGAAATTACACGGCGAGCCTCCCGACATCCTCCATCCACTTTGTTCTGCTAATTACTTTACTTTATCAAACTCGGTCCTTCTGGCACTGGGATTCTCGATTACAAAGTGGCTGTTGTTTAAACTTCCGCTTACTGCAAATTAAATTAACTCATGATCGTTTGACCCTGGGTTAGGGCTTATTTCGTCCCTAATTCTAAACAAAGTGCTTACCGAAACCGAGCATGACGCAGAACCATCTCCTGTTAGTTTGGGGACCGTTTGTAGAAGAAGCCCGTGGGATATTGCTGTGTGTATCAGCCAGACTTTACTGTCAAGATTCCATTTCTACTTGGGAAAATTTATTCTTCCTTGTGTTACTACACTGGAAGATCTCTCTCCTCATCTCACATGAACAAAGATCAGTCTTGAAAGCAGAGCTGCCTGAGCAGAATGTTTTCATGCTTCCCTGAAGATGACACCAGCTGTTGTCACCGCTTCCCTGTCTTAAATTTATGAAAACAGTATTTCTGTGTATATTTTGGGGGCTGGCTTCCCCCTGACGATCTTTTGAAGTGTAACTTCAAAGCATAGTGCTTGTTTCCTAATGATTTTAATGATTTTAATCAGTTCCTTGGGTGTTCCGGTTGCTGTTTTAGGTATCTTTGCTGTCACGGTCACTCTTTTCTAGTGCTTGGTGGAGTCTGAGAAGCAATTGCACAGCATTACTGAAGATTTCCTAGCTGAATATTGGTTTTATTTTGTACAGGGCACTAACTGTATTTATGCTGCTTCTTGCTACCCAAAGATCTCATCGAAGACTTTTACTTTAGTTCTTCACTTGTATCTGTGGCAGAATTGGCTTCCACAAATCCAGGGTCGACGTTTTGCTGGACCACATTTCCTTTATTCCTTTCTGAATTTTTTTCATCTTGGAAGGCTTCTTTTGTCGATGTCGTGGTTTGACCCTGGCCGGCAGCCA